CTGCATTGGCGTACAGTTTGTTCGTGCGCATGCACTCGAGCACCGCTCTTAAATGGACATTGTGGTTCTCCTCATCCGTCCTTCCGTGCTCCGCACGACTGTGAACAAAAATGTCGTCAAAGTATGTCTGAGGATACGCCCTGTGGGGCCTGAACAACTGCGTCACAAGACGATTAGATGTTGCTGGTGTATTTGACAACCCTTTGGGCATCACCAGCCACTACAAGAGCATGCCGCTCGGAGTGCTCACCGCTGTCAGCGGAATATCACTCTCTCTCATGAGCAATTGGTGATATCCATCTACCAAGTCGAGTGCACTGTACTTCGTACATCCCACCATATTGTTCTGAAGAACATCCTTTCTAGGAATCGGCGTCTGTGCCGGAATGATGGCAGTGTTGAGCTTATTGTAAGCATGAGTGATACGACACTTGCCGTTCGGCTTTCGAAGACAAAACTTGGGTGTCGAATGTGGAGACTTGCTCTCACGTACCATTCCTGCGTCGTACTTTGCACGTAATAATGCGTCAATGGCGTCGCTCTGCTCCTTGGGCAGGGCCATTGGCGTGTCATGCAGTATTTAGTGCCCGGAACGAGGTCGATCTCATGACGCGCACCTCGGTCCGGAGGTAGACCGAAGGCGGGTCTTTGGAGACGACGTCTCGAAATTTCTTTACCATAGGAGAGTACGGATCCAAGGGATTCCGTAGGATTGACGATCCACTTCTTGCGTTCAGCACTCTTTTGGTGCCGCCCAAGACAGCTTCATCCAGAAGCGATGACGAGATTATCTCCTCATCCAGTCGTACAATGACCACTTCGGCCAAATCTCCTGCCTTCAAGGCATTGCCGAACTCGGGATATCTCGTCCAGCTCAAGAAGAGCATCTACTGCAGGCATTGTCTCGAGCCGGGCGCCTTCATCTCCCTCCCCTGTCATGCTGTTGACGAGGTTTTATAACTGTGCACCGTCGTCTATGGTAGACAGACCCTGAATCAGGTTCGACGCCTGGCGTCTTGCAGCCAGCATATTGCGTCGCCATTGCCTTTGTACAGAGATTCTAGGTCTCGGTGAGACCAGGGTGAACACGCACTTTGCGTCGTCCGGTGCCACCCTCACTGTCCACCCGTTGTAGCTCCGAGCTTATCTACAACATCCGACGAAGAGCTGCTAACCCCGCAGTCTTCGTCCAGTGGATAACATGCCACTT